TTGCTGGAAGATCCTGCTAACTTTGGAGAAATCGGAGCATTTATAACTATCTTAAGGCAGACACAGAAAGACTTTAAAAAGGCTAAAATCGCAGGGAACCAGAACAGGCTGGAATTGCCTATTTTTTAAAAACAAACGTGATGCCAGAAGCTGCCCCGAAGCTGGAGGAAGCGGCATGTGGCTCTGGGCTGCGCTCTCCTTCCCATATGTACAGCTCTGGGCTGAGCTCTCCTTCCCGTATGTGCAGCTTTGGGCTGAGCTCTCCTTCCCATACGTACAGCTTTAGGCTGAGCTCTCCTTCCTCCGCGCTGAGGGGCTCCTCTCTGCTTGAGGTGTCGTGACAAAATCTGCACTAATGTTTTGGGGACRAGAAAAAGGAGGTGTAAAACTGGCCCTAGCAGTTCCTCACGGAGAGGCGCCGCCRTCTCTGGCCACAACCCTCTAAATCCTTTAGCTCAGCGTACTGAGGWGGCTCTGTCGGGGCGCAAACGCAAGGAGCTGTTGGTATCACCTCACGAAAGCGTGAGGGCGACGACCGACGTTGTAGCTCCTCGATGGCTGTGAAGGAAGAGACCAGCCCCATGAGGCAGCCGTCTGCTCCCTCGGACACCAGCAACCCCCCTTGGGCCTCTCAGGTAATTCCTGAATTCCTCCACTGACATTTGGAGCGTGGGCCTGTGAGGAAAACACTCCCATCTCCCTGTTAGCAAAGCGGAGTTTTCCTAGCAGCGACATCTTGCTTGCAATCYTAATCACATCAGTGATTCCAGTAATCTTCCCAGTGCTAAGAGCTGGTATTAATTCCCTCAGAGGAGGACCTGGGTGGGTTTGGGTTTGCTGTTGTTTTTTAAACCCAGATAATTAAAATTAAACCAAATAATGACAATCTAAGACTTTCCAAGAGGAGGACAGAGAAGGGGGGTGAGGGCGGAATGACCAAATCCAACATTTTTAGCGCATTTTTAAAACCAAACACTAAAGAGGCTGACCAAGACTGATACCTAAAACAGCAGCAGAAGATCATTTTGGCAGTCATACTAGATAACTGGTATCTGCTTTCTACCCCCTTAACTATATTTGTCCAGGTTAGAAAAACAACCGTGCGATCCAAAACACAGTATTTGGGCAGCTTTGACTTCTTTTTGTGACACTTTTTGTGTCTGAACGATGGAAACGCTTCATTTGGGTAACGAGAAGAAAAGGGTTTCCCCACACCTCACCAGGAATCACCAAATTTGCCCCACAGATGAGCACCTTAATCCTCTACCTCCAGCGTCTCCAGGTCTGTTGTGAAGCTGCTCATGGAAGTGCGGGACTTGCCCTTGTGCCTGTTGAGTGACAATTTACCCTAGGGAAACTGGGGATATCCATGGTTAATGCCACTATTTTGTGGGCAGAGTGTGGATGTCCAACGCTTTGGACCTCCGCGGTGTCCTAAGAAAATCAGRGGCATTGAGGGGATGGAAGTGAGAGGAGAACTCTGGCCACAYAGAAATATTATTTACCATATACTGCCCTTGCTAGAAAATTCCCATTTTGGTACCCGTGGTTTATGGGGTGCTCGGGAGGTAGCTGAGGGGCAGGGAGGGAAGGTTTGACTTACCACGGTGCAGCTCCTGTYCGCTCAGTGGATTCCTTGGCCCTGATGTCATCCATTTACTTTTCTAAATCATCGCGCAGAACGAAATGCAGTGATATGAAAGATTAGTCTTCATTTCGGGAAGCAACTGCCAAATTAAATGATGACAGATGGAAAAACTATGAGCCACGGTGTCAGGGGTCTGACAATTGCCCCCTGCTTTAGCAATAAGTAAATATATAAACCTCAGCTGGTGCCTGCAGAAAACACACACGCCTGGTTTGAAGACAGACCTCGGACTTTCTTATTTAATCAATACCCCCTATTGAAGAAAGCGGCGTACAGCAGCAGCCCCGAAACAGTATGATTAGAAAGTGATATAGTGCACATTAGGATGTATAATTCATGTCGCCTCCATTTGCTGGGGCCGTCGTGAAAATCCATAGATCATTTTCTCGTTCGCGCGGCGCCCGCGCGCGATCCGTCACTCGGCATTAGCGGGGCCGCCGCCGTGGGGCTGCGCCTGCACGTGGATATACATAGACACGCACATTGTATATGTGCACACCCACGCGTACTGTATATGGGTGCATGGCCAGAGGTGCGTGCACCTGCAACCTGCCCTTACCGTCAGGATGCGGGTGCCAAGGGGGGCGCGGGGCCCGGGCGCGCTCCGGGCTCCAGGATGTGTYGGGATGTGAGGGATGAGGGGGGYGCGGGGCCYGGGCGCGYTCCGGGCTCCAGGATGTGTCGGGATGTGARGGATGAGGGGGGCGCGGGGCTCAGCGCGGCTGTGGCGCCCGGGCAGGGAGAGCGCCGGGATGGAGGGATGCGGGGGTGGACGGAGGGATGCGGGGATGGATGGAGGGGCGCGGGGAGGGCGGCGTGGATGGCGGCGGCTCCGGAGGCGGCGGGAAGGCGGCCGCGCTGCCGCCCCGCGGGCAGGCGGGATCCCGGCGGCAGCGCCGCTCTGACGCGGCCGTTTACCGCCTCCTTCCCGCGCCGACCCCGGCCCTGCGGCTCCGCTCGGATGCGCGCGGGCGCTGGGGGCGGCGGCAGAGCCCGTGCGCGCGGGGCTGCCCGTGGCGCTCGGCAGCGCCCGGGGGGGCACCGCGGCACGGCGAACCCC